AAGATAATTTATTCAATCACACATTTTTATTTGTTAATGTTTAATTTCCGGTCAGACTAGAATATTAATAAAAATAGAAAATCTCATAAAGAAGTCAAAGCGCTTTAGTAGAACTTTCTACTAATGAGTTAAATGCACGGTTCTCAAAATATTTCTTTTCTTCTTTTTTTTTTTAATAACTGAGCTGATTTGCTGGAATTATAAAAGATTTAACGTTGGAAAACTTCAGATTTTTAAGAAAATTCTACATCTCTGTAATAATAGGACAGTAGAAGAGGGGGGGAGAGAGAGAGAGATATTTAGCCTTAAGCAGCTTTAACCTATATTTTAAAGGGAGACTTCTATAATCTCAGAGTGGAGATCGTAATAAACAGTTCTGAATAGATCGCTTACTAACTTTTACAAGGTGAGTGTGTAGACAGGACATCAGTATACTCAACTAGAGTGACTTATTACAGCATATCTAGCACTTTGATTTTATGATAGCTTATGATTTTAGCAATGTTATAAGAGCTAACGATAATAAACTGCAAAACAATATAGTATTTTAAGAAAGAAGTAATATATTACTCAGATAGCTACCTCTAAACGGGCCATTTTCTAGATTATAAAGATTTATTTTGAATTTACAGCCTTAAGAAACATCTACAGATAACTTACACTATATAAACTTACATTAAATTTTATATTATTATAAATAAATAAAAAATCACATTAGTCTAAACTATAAAATCTTGGTTTAGAAGTATGAAAACGGTAACTTTACCTACTGAAAAATATATACAATAAATCTAAACAGAACTTTAGAACCTTTCTTATAAATCATTCTACAAATTAGATCTCAACATTACTTTATTAAATCTAAAATAATGCACACCATCGTATTTTTAGTAAAGATTATTTGGCATTTTAAATTTAAATACTTGAAAAATAATTTAAATAATAATAAAAAAAAAATTAATCTGAATTTTCTGTTCGTCGTAAATGAAATATTAGTACACATTTTATGGTACTTTACTTTTAATATGATCGAATTTGCTGAGTCACAAGTTTTCTGGAGAGGAAAATTATTTCTTCTCAATAACCCCTCCTTAAAAATCTAGGATAAAAAAAATATAGGCTTATATATATACAGAATATGCTTTATATATAATGAAATTCGCCAGATTCACAACAGCTCTTTAAAAGTTTCTTTAAAAGAAAAAAGAAATTCATATATATATAAAATCTTAATTGACAGAAAGTTGTAATAAATTCTGTACAATTTTTTAACATCACTTTATAACTAACAGCAATATTAATAAAACAAAATTTTAAAGTGAACGATGTAGTAAAGATAGGTCACATGTCACTGTTTCCATCTCAAGAGTATAGATATAGGCATCTATTTTCAGTTGCACACCTTGAGGCTATTTGCTTTGAAACTGTATAAGTAAATACCCAGTAGACCATGGATTGTGTTTTAGTTTAAATTCAAATTCTGCTCCTGCAGTCGATGAGTGATAGAAGGTTAAAATATGAAATTCTAATAACCCATCTAGGATACGTTAGAAAAGGAACCACTCTAGGACATAATTCGCCTCGGGCATTCCCCCCCTTATCCAACTATTCTGTATTATATATAAAGGAATCAAGCATCGAATTTCGAGAGAAGTTCAATTTACGTCTCTGGCTTCATCTCTTGTTTATCTCTTTTCTCACTAATATGGTGAAGAAAGAAAATAAATGACCTTCGTCGTGATGGTTGTTTGAATAAACTTTTTGAAAAATCCAATATATTTATACCTTCTGAAAGTGAATATAAGTTTACTGATTTTTCTGCTTTTTTTATTTAGATTTTTAAAAGAAAAGAAAATTACTTTTATTCTTTCTTATAAAAAAAATTGTGTAAAACAAATTCAAGAACATTTATAAAAAAAAAAAAAAATTCGAATTTTAAATATTATTACATATAGGCCTATATAAGGTGTTAAAAAATAAAATTTTAAAAGAAAAATAATAATATAATATTTAGAATAAATTTATAAAATGGTAAAAATGCCTAGAGATAAATAAAAGTGAAAAGAAACAAAGAAAAATAAGAAAATAGCAAGAGAAAACAGAGGAAGAATCGGCGAGAAAAAGGAAACAGAAAGAATTTCGAAAATAAAAAATCTTTTTCCCCCTCCCCTGTTTCTTTTAAAAGAAAAAAAAAGAGTTGAAAAAGTAAAAATAGGGAGAAAAAATGTGAAAAATTTAGGGAAACAATAGAATTTCTGTTATGGAAGAAACATTAAAAAATGATTTAAAAAAAAAATTATATTCAAAGTGTAAGGCAATAGAAAATATTGCTATAAAAAGCTAGAAGTGATAGATACAGGAAAACGAAAAATTTATTAGAATAAAATAAAAAAAAAATACAACTGTAACGATATAAAAATTAATAACTTAAAAGTTCCAATAAAACAGAAGAGAATAGAAAATTAAAAAATGCAAATTAGGAATTCTGTGGAATATAAAATTGTAACTTTCCTCCAGGAATTCGAATTATAATTTATAAACAGAGTTTTGTCAAATTTCAAAAGTATGTTACTTGATGTTTGAAAAATAAAATTTGAATTATTTAGTTGTTTTTTATTTATTTTGTTTTATATACGAATAATTTATCTTCATATAAAATACAGTATAAAGATAAAATTTTAAAAAAAGGAAGATAATATTGAATAAAAATGCATTTGTAGAACGTTTATAATTGTTTTTTTAGAGAGAAAAAAACGAACATAAAAAACATGTAACTTCATTAAATATAATTTTAGAAGAAAAATTAAACTTCAAAAGAGTTGTTTTTTTAAAAAGAATTTTAAAAACTTGTTATAAAAAATGCAAAAAAAAAAGTGTAGAAAAAATTAAAATAATGTTTGCTTGGCTTGATTTTTCAATAGAAAATCCAGTTAGGTGTAAAAAAAAAAAAAATGTAAATAAAATTGAAAATGATAATAAATGTCTACAATAATCTCATTAATTCCCATTACAAATCATCATGCTTTTGATCATTGCAACAGAATTGTGTAAACAAAGGGGAATTTGAAGCAGCAAACTGTATTTGCTCGCTTGTTTTTGAATTGTTAAATGAAAACTAACCACATGAGTAAACAATGCTAATGAGAGATGGGAATATCTAACGAGGAACAAATAAGAATTGTGGATACTAAATTTTTCTCATTTTAAAATTTTATATAAGGCTTTATTCCCAATATAAAATGGCTTAATAACGATGACTATTTGGTTTTGTACATTGTGGAAACGGAATGCAGAAAGCAGTCAAATAAATCAATACTGGACAAACATATCTGCAATTGACAGTCACATTTCGTTACATGATTCGCAATGATTTATGTTTCTAGCAATTTTAACCAAAAATATTAAATCGTAGAATGAATTTTGATTTAATAGCCAACTCTCGAGGTTAAATCGATGATTCAGCATTAAAAATATCTCTAAGGTTTTTCAAATATATAGTATCATTTTTTCCTCTCTCTCTCTCTCTTTCTCTCTCTCTTTCTAGATATGTCTACAATGATAAAATTGCTTATAGGGTTCTTTGGGAGATAAAATTATTATTATTTTTTTTAATATAAATCTCATAAGTATAGATATTGTGTGAGGTGTGAAAAGAATCATCAAAAAGTTTGATATAATGGAATAAAAAGAGAAATGGAATGGTTGTACGGAAAATCCTTAGGAAAAATATGAAAAAAATGGTAAAGAATCGAACATAAAAAAATTTATGAAGACGGAAACATTAAAAGTTTGATAGAAAGATACAATAAAATATATATGGAATATTAGAAAATTGATAAAATCAGAAAAATAATATTTAAAAAAAATTGGAAAAACTAGATAAATTAAAAAAGAAAAAAAGAAAAACAGATGGAGAAAACAGAAAAAGTTTGACAAAGAAAACGAAATGTTTAGATGAAAACAGACGAAAAAACAATATAACAAAGTAGTCTATAAACATATAAAATTGCAAAATTTAAAACTGGACGGTTTAAAAATTTCAATAGTCAAAGAGATTTTATCAAAATATCAAAAAGTTAAATAACTTTCACAACAAAAAAAAAAAAACTTTTCAATTTCATTCATATTTTTCAACATAACAAAAGCAGATAGAATATTCTGTTCGTCTTAAGTCGACTTTGAATATTGTTACTTTAAAATTCTTGCATTTTAAGGTTAACTCAAATGAGATCACTATACAATTTGTTTTTTTTTTTTTTCTTCTTCTGGAAAAAGGATATTCTTCAGAAAGTTTTAATAATCCATAAACTTGCTGCTTTTAATATTTAACAAGCAATAGGGATAAAAAGAATTCTTTTCGTCTACATACAATTTTACTTGTCGGATTTTTCTCTTTTCTTAATAATAGTTGTAGAGTCCCAACTCTCGACCTTTGCTTGCATTCAATAAATCAACTCTCTTGCTCTACTGACGTTCTTGAATTTATGAGTGACGTCCTTCTACCAGCCTTACTAACATCCCCTCCCATACCTATTGTCCGAAAGGTACGCTCTGGTAACAAAAGCCAAACTGCATATGTTGGGATACATATTTTAATCTTTTTTAGAGAAGGACTGATATTAAAAATATTTTTTTCAATAGTTGTTTTTCAAGAAACCTTGTAAAAGACACATGAATAATTTACTACGCGAGTATTAGAATGTCTTTTTAACTTATGATATATATTTTTTTTAATTCCCCAAGGATTGATTTTAACGAGCACTTCTAAATCGGGGTAGGGTGAAATTAAGTAGATGTTTCTTTTTTTTAAAAAAAAAAAAGATGTGCGAGCCCTAAAATATTCTGATTATCATCTGAATTATGGCCTATAGACATAAGGAGATACGCTATCTTCATCCGAAACATTCCGCTGCAGCTTACAGTTTTTCTCTTCTAATTTACATAATATACCTCCAAAAAGAAGCACTTGACAGATGATAAGAATGCATTAGACTACTTACTTCCTCTTCTTGCCTTTATCAGGTGGACTAGACCTAATAGTAGTAGAAGGGATGTCACAGCCGTCTTCCATCTCTGCCTCATACAGGACATGTCGGAGTATTTCTCCCTCAGCCCTAAGAAAATAAAAGAATATATATATATATATATGAAATTTAAAAATCGAAACATGTAATAATATTTTTAATAAATAAAACATATTTTGTAAAAATTCAATTTCTAATAGAAAATTGTGTAGTTTAGAAACAGAATTCAGGACAGTTATCAAATATTTGAACACGTTACAAAGCACATCATCGTTTTTAAAAAGCACTAATGCAGCGACCGTTATTCATCAGGGTCATCTTTAATCTCAGCCATTTATAACATGTTCAACAAGCATGGAAAATAAGCAACTAACCTCGCACAAGCTACAGACATCTTTGTCCGAAATCCTTTGTTTCCGTTTGCCACCATCCATCCATCACTTTAATCACTCGTCGGGATAGGCAATTCAATACAATGCACTTTGTGTCAAAATTATTGCCTTTGGGAATTCAAATTTTCTACGCTCGTTTTGTCAAAAAATTTGAATTTAAATAAGGCATCGAAAATTTTAATTGTTTTTATTATTATTATTTATTTATTTATTTATTTAACTCTCTTCTCCTTTAATTCTATTATTATCTAAACATTTCTTCTCTTGTAAATAGAGAAATAACATATAAAATGACCTATTGCTTTCACGATAAGTAACGTAACCGAAACTGTATTTTGTTGCTGAATAATTGAAAAGATAAATAAACTTGAGTTATAATTACTCAAAATGAGGATGATTACGAATAAGATGACGTTTGATGAGTAATTTAGTCTGCTTCAGTTATCCGAGAAGTGTACCCTAAACAGCTATTTCGATGCAAATTCGAAATGTCATGAATGTCTTATTAAGCTTCAATTATTGAAGCGAATATTCTATAACAGAATAAATATTATCTGCATTGGGAAAAATACAAATATTACCGAGTTAATTACACGAAAAGAAAAAAAGATTATAATAATGTATTAGTTATAACAAAGAAAATAATAGACCTTTTTTTTTCTAACTGTTTATCTTAAAAAAATATATACATATATATATATAAATTATATTAAAATAAGTTTTTTTTTCATTGTTAGAGAAAAAATAGGATACAGAAAAGGTTAATTATAAAAAAATAATAACAATTTAAGTGAAGCTTCGGATATTCAAACGAACGGACTATAATTGTGAAGAGAAAAATAGTATGATGGGGGGAAGAGTTAATTAAAAAGATATACAATATCAGTTATTTTTACAGCCTTGGGGCGTTTTCAGCTTATGTAAAAACTTAATTTTATAGTTGAAAGATTCACAAGAAAATTAAATATAGAAAAGAGAAAAAAACGAACATAAAAAACATGTAACTTCATTAAATATAATTTTAGAAGAAAAATTAAACTTCAAAAGAGTTGTTTTTTTAAAAAGAATTTTANATATTCAAACTTCATTAATATTTTTCTACTAAAGGAATAAGTTTATTTCTTAAGAGAAAAATCTACATATAAATAAACATTCTTTTAATATTTTCTATAAATAAATTATATTTATAAAAATTTATATATATGAAGTTAAGATGAGCAATAATAATAGAAATTTTAAATAGAATTTACGCTTATAATAATGATAAAGTTAAGCAGCTTGGCAACGAAAATAAAGTAATAAATGTAATGTAATGTTATAACACTAAGTTCCTTTGCCTTCTTTCTACACGCCATTTTGTCAGAATAAAGTCAATCCATGGTTCGTCAATTAAGTTCCCCCCCGTGAAATATTTCAAAAATGGAATTTCAATCGACCACTAAAAAAAGGGAGGACAGTAATTGAAGGATAGAGGAGTGTCAAAGAGAAGAAATTCTCTGTGATTTCATTCTATCCGAAGTTTAATATATCTCCGTTAAATATTCAGTGGGTGCCGAATTTTTCTTTCTCCTTTTCTCTTGGGTATAGAAATTGGTAAAAGGGGGAAGAGCCACGCACCCGTCACAATCCGTTGTAGCATGGATTTACCGAGTTTATTAGTTTCGTAACAAGAATATACCCCGAATTCGTGGAAGGTGTACGGGGGGGAAGGTATTCTGCAAACCTCTTGAGGGGAGGGGCGCAACTGATGACGCAGAAAGTCATAGCGAATCGATATTCTACCCCATACCCTAGAGGGAGGGGGTCTAGAAATGAGAAATGGCACCTCTCAGTCAACTGCCTGAGGATGTGCCGAAAGACCAGTTCACCGCGGAAACCCTCTGGTTTGGTGGCTACATGATGTGATCTTTTTTGGGGAGAAAGTTTAGCTCGAATTTAACGGTAACGTGATGTCATTCGAACTTTATACTGCTCAAAGTATCGATTTTTTTTAAATAAAAATCGATAATTCTAATAGGAATTTAGTGTAATTCGAACTTTTACACCTTGTTTTGTAAGCCGATAAGAAACTTACAATATAGAAGTGTAAAAAGAGATTTGCAATTCAGTTTATCTTTTGAATACGCCTATTTCCTCTACAGTTAAGAGATTTATCTCTCACTTAATGTTGAATTGTATAATTGCAGGATACAATCTTTGAAAAGTTAAAAAAAAAGAAAAAAATTAATTAAGTTTTGTATATCTACATAAGTCTATACGAACACTCCTAAAGGGCCTCTTATTCAAGGTGAATACATTAATTGTCCAAACCCATTTTTTTACGTATACGAATTGCAAGTTTGAATGTTTAATCACGTGTTGTGTCACTCGTTAAAAAAAAATGAAATAAAGAATAAATCTTAGGGAAGTCTCAGAAAACGCGCAACGCCTTCAATTTTTGCAACCGAGACTAATCTACCTACACAAACTATTTTTTTTTTTTTTTTTAAGGACATTTAACATTATATTAGCCATACCTACGGGAGGAGAGTATAGAATAGCCAAAATGCCTTCTGCATGTCACCTGCCGTCCTTCTATAATTACGTCTCGACCCGCCCAAAATATTCTTGTCCATTGGAGTCCGGTTCTGTAGTATGGTCACACCTTATATTCCCTGGTTCAAGTTTACGTCTTCATAGCAGTAGATACCATTAATCACTAAAACTCTTGCTCCTTATAGTGACGTGTGCGAGAGGATTAGGTAACAATTAGACCCCCTGCCGTGACGTCATATCCTCAGCCCTGTTTTCCGGTCAGCTGCTCAACTGTGTAACACCCTGCTAGTTATGTTCAGTCCAGTGATGCGTCCGGTCTTCTAAAGTGGATAATTTTCGAGTTTGGAACGTGAATTTGGAGGATGATCTGTAGTTACTAATCACGAGTTTCCGGCCCACTTTTTTTGTTTTTTTTTTTTTTTTTATTTATTTGTTCGTGTTATTATGGTTCTGCCAGTTATTTTTTTAAAATACAATTAAGTTCCGAAACGAATTGAAGTGATTAATACATTAAAAAAAAATTAATGTACTGGAGTAGAACTGGTACAAAATATTACTTACTCGTACGACTTTCTCTTGAGATACTTACTTATTCTTAATTAGTTATGCTCGTAACAGAGATAATTAAAGCTTTGAAAAATTTTAATTTATGTAGATTTTAACTATTCTTCTCTTAATTAATGAAAACTGACAAAATACTACGATTTATTGGAAACTGATATATAATTTTATTAACTTTCAACACAAAATTTTATAAGTTTTAATCAACATTTAACATCAAAACCAGATCATTTATCCCAAAATTGGAGCTTGTATTATTGATTTTTACTTCCTTATCTGCTCTAATATAAACAGTGACAGATGAATGCCAGTACATTATCGTTTTAATTCACATTTTTAATTATAAAAGTCTAGTTTAAATTGATTGATTTAAATTATTTTTGGGTGATTGATTTTATAATTATTCCATAAACAAATTTGCAAATATCAATACTAGATATACTTAGTTACTGCAAGAATGAGCTTAACGTTATCTAGAGGCATTGAAGCGCTTTAAAATACTAAAAACTTCGCTATATCATTTAATCTAAAGTAACGTTATAACGATAAGAGAATTTTATTGTAAATTGATAATCCTTTAAAATTCGTAAATCTTGAATTAGTGAAAATTAATTACCGGGTTACTGCTTAATCTGGGTTGTGGTAAGGAAATTAAACAAGAGATTAGATCTAGCCTTAAGGATACGTCATTTCTACTTCATTCTCATTCTTGTAATTGCTTAAGTTATGGCAATAGAATTGTGTATTAATTTTACAAATTTTACAATAAAACAAATTAAAATTAAAATCAAAGGTTGGTGATATTAAGAATATATATATATATATGAAATTTAAAAATCGAAACATGTAATAATATTTTTAATAAATAAAACATATTTTGTAAAAATTCAATTTCTAATAGAAAATTGNATAAATTATTTTGCCAATTAAAATTTGCGCTTAAGTAAATTTAACTTAACAATTTAATTTTATAATTTAAGTACGTAAATTTGGTTTACATTTAATTTCAACATGAATAAGTTTAATTAAGTAAATACTGTATCTAGATAAAGAAGAAGGGGAGAAAAAAATATATACAATATATATGTATATATATATATATTTTCGTGTTGATATTTCTGAATTTTAAATTGTATTTAATATTGTATTCTTATTTGAGTATATTTATTTTGAATTCAATTATTGTTAACAAACAATATTTTGAATCTAAGCTTATCTATTGTACTCGAAAAAGTTTTTTTTATATATAGGCCTTTATATATATATACTTCTAAAAAATATATTTAATAAACTTCAATGGAAAAATTCAATATAATTTTAAATTTATATTGATTCTATAGAAGAGATTGAATTATATTTATATATATATTTGATTTTTTCTATAATATATTTAATTCTTTCTTATTAAATTTCCTCTTTATTCTTTATTAAAAGAAGAATTTTTTAAAGTAGTATATAACCTAACAAAACTTCCAAAATTCTTTTAAACATAATTTAAATATTTTCAAATTATATTAATATAATTCCCCGATAAAAAAAAATAACATTTAAATATCCATTAAAAAATAGAATAAAAAAATAAAAATTATTAAATGTAATTAC